CAAGAGAGCCCATGGCAGACCTTTGGCAAATCCTTGCTCGTATGACTGTGCAGCTGGCTGAGGTAAAGGGTTGAGCTGGGGGAAGGGAGTGTCAGGCCACAGCTGCCTTCGAGGCAAGCAAAGAAATAGGCACTGGGGGAGGGGAACCCAAGAGACTTCTCTGAGCTCTGAGAGAACAGCTTGGGTTAAGCCTTGAGCAAGGACATCCCTGCAGAGGAAACATCTTCTTGATGAAGGATGAAGTGTTTGTGGGAAGACCTGGGCTGTGGACTCAGCAGTGTCAACGCCCAGTGGGTTTGGGGGAGCATCTGTGGTGGGTGCCCGTACTTCCTGTGAGCAGCAAAATCAGATCTAAAGAGATGGCCTAGAGCCATCAGCTGCTGAGGTCCTAAACTCCTTAGTGAGACTCTGCACTGGATGGGGAGACATTTGGGATGTTGGTGGGCAGGCAGAGATCTTTGCCAGTGGTGGGAGCCTGAGCAAACTAGTGGCTGCTGAAAAAAACCTCCCTCTCCCTCCATCACTACTGTCCGTAGGACAGAAATGGCCACAGAGGAAAAGATCTGCTGCAGGCACCAGGCATCCCTGCACAGCAGGGTGTGCCATCCTGCACAGAAGCACACATGGGGGCACCTGGATCTGCATGTGGCTCTTAGGGAAAGTGTCATCAATGAGGTGAAAATGGAGAGGGAAGTCAGGGAAAGAAAGATGCCCATTGTGAGACAGATCTGTTTTCCCTCAGGCCCTGGAGTGATGGTTCAGCTTGGCCAACGAAAGGGAGGAGGAGGACCCTGCAGGCTTATGCCCAGCTGCTGGGCACTCACAAGGTCTGACTTGAGTCCATGGTGAGGCTGGGCTCCTGCAACTGCCATGTCTCCCCTCCCTGCCTGCTTTAGTCCTGGCAAGGATCTCTGCCCAATGCTGTGCTCTGGGTTTTTGGTCTGCTGCGGTTATAGGGCTTGCACTTCTGTCTGTCCCACTTCCCAGCCACGGCTCAAGGGTCAGCACAGCAATGAGAGGGTGAGTGGCCTTTGGGGCCACCTGTGACCTTTTTGTCTTACTCTTGTTCCCACAGGGAGAAAATGCTTGTGAGGAGTTTGACTCCCAGGTGGGATTGGTCGGCCCTCTGGCTTACGACTCATTGGCTGTGTCCTGCTGTTGGGCAGGGTCCTACCTCAGCCACCTTCTCTGAATACAGGGTAAGGACAGAGGGCACTTCCCAGCCTTGTTCAGCCTGATCTTCCCTCGTTTACCTACCCATCAACACCAAGATCACACAGGGCCTGGGCTCTATCCGCAGAAGAGAAAGTGGTAGGCAACAAGCTTGACTGGTATCTTACACACATCGTGTTAATTCTCTCCTTTCTCCATGTCACAAGGGATCTCTGAAAGAAGGTGGTGGAGTCCAACCTCCTCAGGGGCATCTTTCTTTGTGGTGAGGAGACAGGGCAGTTGCCCACTGGTCTCTGAGAGCAGGACATTGCAATGAACATCATGGACAGACCCCCTCCAAGTCAGTAGGAGAGATAGAGGATGATCAGACAGGTAATTAAGGTCCCCGATGTTTTGGCAGCTGCATTCCTCTCTGCTTCCTGACTAGTCTGGATGTTTCCCAGGTGCCTTCTCCCAGCCCATCCCTGCTCGTGGAGGAACTCTCCTGACCAGGATGACAGGAAATCTGTTCAATGCTCAGAGTTAGGGAGGAGAAATCTGAGCTGAAGGTCTAGGTTTTGATTTGAAGGCATTTTTTAAGCCCATTTCTACTGTGTCCTGGGGGTTGGGGTTAGGCAGGGTTTTTAAATGCCCCTTGAGGATGTGACATCTCCATGCTGGGTCCTTCCACCATCACCCACATGGTGGCCTGAGGAAGGGGACACAGGCAAAAGGATTTCAAAGGCCCATGGGACATACCCTCATTCCACACACCCACAATCACAGGGCAAGTCCCCAAACCATGACAAGTGCAGGAGGCCTCATCTCCCACCTTTACCACATAAATATCTGCCCATCTGCAGCTCCTACATGCCAGAACCTGGCCCTTGGCCAGGGCCACAGCCTTGGTGCAGGTCCCAGGGCTGCTTACCATGCCCAGCACTGCACCTTCTGGGACAGGATGTTCAGGAACTGCTCCAGCACCACCAGTTCCATGGTGTGACTCTGCGGTCCCAGCCAGTGCTGGGACAGCTCCTGCAAAGAGCTTCCAGAGCCCTCTCTGCCTCCAGCCCTAACCCATGAAGTTGAATGATGAACCTGACCCCTAGCCCTTAACTGTACCCCAAACTTCAAATTCTAACCCTCTCTCAATCCTAATCCAAAATCTAACCCCTATCCCCCAACCCAAACCTCTAAACCCTAATCTGAACTTTAATTCCTAACCCTTAAACTACCAACATTAACCCAAATCCCAAACCTGAGCCCAAGTCAAAACCCAAACCCCTAATTCTAACCCCAACCTGAACCCTAACCCTTGACCCAATCCCAAATGATAACTTCAACACTTAGCATCCTAACCATATTCCCTAATCCTAAACTCCTAACTCCAAACCATCAACCTAACCCAGAGAAATTGTGGAGTTCCCATCCTTGGAGATACTTGAAAACCCTAATGTGCTGAATCCAAACCATAGCTCTAGATTCTATCCTCCTCCTCCTAATTCTTCTATTCTTCTATCAAAGGGAACAGTTCCAAGATATGTTTATTGTACATTTTTTTAATCTTAACTGTACAAAGAAAGCCAAGTAGGTCAGAAAACAATTATCTCCCCTTTACAGAGATTTCCTCAGTCTCTCCCCAGTCTCTTTCCTCAGACCCTCCCCAGTCTCCCTTCCCATAGCTTCTGACAAAGGCCCATATACTGCCGGATTGGTCTCTCAAAGAACACGCTGGCTGCAGAGCCAAAAACCAGTGAAATCATTCAGTAACAGAAGAACAGAAACATTAAGAACAAAACACACATCTGCAACTTAGTGTAGTGATAGCATGATGCAGTTTGGGGTTTTTTTGTTTATTACAAATGTCATAACCGCATCTTAGCTGGGAAATGTTCCAGCATCATCAGCAATGACAGCTAAGGAAGAACCAGTTTTCTATAACGTCTATTAAAAAAAAAATTAAACTCTGCTTACAAATATTCAGGATTATTCTTGAGAATGTATTGTGTACATGCCCTTCTCCTTTATGTACATCAAGAAGATTCTGTATAGTGTGTATAGCAGCTTGCTGCAACACTGCTGGCAGCTACAAGTTCTTGGTGATTTCTTTAATACGTCAGCTGCACTTACAAAAATTCTTTACTTTCCTAAGAATGAAAAATAATTTTTTTTCTGTATGTCAGATGATAATAAAAATGCAGTTTTACATGTAACTGACCCATGAAACTGCAGGAGACTGAGGACTTGTAAGAGGTACAGGACAGGTTCAACAGTCTTGAACAAAACCCTCTGCCTTCATCAGTTCAAAGGGACAGCAGAGTCCAACAGCATACGCTCATAATAATCCTCTGGAGAACTGAGCAATGTTTGCCAATACCCAGGTTGTGATTCCTCTTGGAAGGTCTAAGACTGCAGACGTACATGCCAGTGGGACCTGGAGTATGAGCCCGCCTGGCAAAATGTTGATGCCTACTCTAAATATGATCACTCTCTCTCTCTCTCTCAAGCTCCAGTGACAATACTGACTAAATCTCCCTTGATTTAGATGAAAGCCTAGACACTTTGTTCAGTATACACACGTACATCACAGAAGCTTAAATATAAGCAAGATTAAATCCACTCTAAAGTCTTCTTGTTACAGGTCTGCAAGTTCTTCCTCCTGCACAGGAAAAACATGCCTGACTATGGCATAGGCACTCTGCTGAACTTTTCCTGCATTCTTCTTACCTTCTGGTTCTCTCTCCAGATTCAAAGGAGCTTCTGATTGTGACCTTACCTAACGTTAGTGAACAAGACACAGTTTGCTCAGTGCTACATGCTACATCACTGTTTCCATTGGGTACAAAGAGTCATTTGTGGCAGCACTGATCTAAAGTATCAACTTCACTCCAGTATTCACATGAACAGCAGAATTCACAAGTCACCTTGCTGAGTTGTTTCTTTTGCTTCTTAGGTTTTCTCCCCAAGAATAAAAAGAAAGACCAATAAAGGATGTGTGAAGCAACAATATTAGGATCATCTTCACATACTTCATTTATTCAGTTGTATGAGAGGACAGTAGTAGGACAACAAGTGTAAAAAAGATTCGATCTCTCAGGTAATTCTTCTGCTTTGGGAAACTGAGTAGCATATTTCCTCTGGTTACAGAAACTGCTCCTAAACTGTTGACTTGTTTGGTAAAGAGTTCTTTGATCACAGAAGGCTGCAAACAGCAGCGTTACTGACAGTGCAGCTGGGAACAGATTTGTCACTATCAGTCAGCCTTAAAGACTGATTTTTCTTTCAGCTCTTGACACCTTATGAAAAAAGCTACTTCTGTAGAGACTACCAAATCCAAGCACATCTGGTACAGACAAACATGGTGGTGTTTATGATCTAATACCATGACAAGAACAGTGGAAGTTACATTCTTTTGATGGTTCTCTACATTGATAACAGTTTGAAGCTCTTCTTTTGTACACATCAGAAATTCTCCACACTCTGTCATCCAGTTCTGCTACTGCTCTTCACAAACTCAGTGTTACTTTTAGTCCATTGCAAAGTGACAATCTGGGACACAGAATAAGGAGAAAATTTGTGCCCTGAAACTTGGCCTTTAAATTTTAGGAAGTCAAGTCAAATACTGACACCCAGATCCAGTTTTTCTGAACCTGCCCTGCATGTATGTGGCTGAGCTTCAATATTTGTACAGGAACATGCTCTCAGATACAAAGATAGCAGTGTCTTTCTGTTCCTACTTCCATATGCGTGTTTATGGAAATTTTCTTTGTTTTAAAAAAAGCTGTCTCTCCTTTCTGGTGTGTGTACACCCTTCTGTCTATTGGCACAGCGTTTCCTCCCAGCTTGATTTATACACTATGCCGACGGTTGTTGATCATGGCCACAATGTGTGACAGGTCCAAACTTTTCATCATAACCTCCATGAACTCCTCGTCTTTCTTTGCTCCCTCCACAAATTCATCCAGAGAAAGTTCACCTGTATCAGACACAGACAGAAGGCATCAGAATCATGCCAATCCACATTTGAACAGAAAAAGGAGTGCAGTAATCTAACTTTAGAGACCACTTACTATATATTCACTGTTCTAAAGCACCAAGAGGCCTCGGAGAGTCTTTTTAAGCTTATATGAAACTTCCCCGATATCCAGCTTCCTTTTTTTTTTTCTCACACAAGGGAAAAGGTACATAAGAAAAAATAGAGGAAGTGCGTAGCTAAGGAGTGGGATCATAGCTTCCTATAAATAAGGCTGGATTAGCCGCCTCCTATTTGGCCTAACCTGTCATAGTCCTAACCTGCCCCATACTTGCTGGTTTTCATGTTTAAAAGAAGTGACAGAAGGAAGCTATGACAGGCAGAAATGGGTTTTCTGTTCTAGGCCAAAAAGCCCTTGTGCACGGAAGCAGTTCGGCAGAGTTCTTCCGGAATAACAAAAGAGCATGTCAGTAGGTAATAAGCACATGAAGTAGCAAGGAAAGAAATACCTGTCAGGGACATACAGCAACTACAGTGGCGTTGACCAACTTTTGACTGACTGGTGCATAGCACTTCATGTGCTTGCTGTACTGCCTGCAGCAGACCCAGTGAAGAAACTCTGAACTTCAACATTAAATTCCAGTTCTTCCTTTCCCTGCTACTGAAATATTTAGGAGCAGCTGGGACCATCTGTTAATATTTCCCACTTCTAACTCTGACATAAACTACACAGCAACATAGAAAAAGGCAAAAATAATGCCACTCCAAAACCCCACTACCAAACTTACGTGGACAGAACACAGCTGAGACTTAGTACAGGGAACAAATCCTGTCATACTGATTATGTATGATGCAAGGAGAAAAATGCCTTAGCAAAATTCATGGAGAATGCATTACTGCATGAGAATTCATATAACAAGCAAATATAAAATGAAGAGGCAATAAAGTTCAATCAAGAAAGGAAGACGTGGATGTCTCTCTGTAGCACAGAGACCCGCTCAGTTGGATGACAAGACAGGAATCTTACCATCTCCATTCACATCAATTTTGTTGAAGACTCGGTTGGTGAACTCTTCTGCACTAGTTTCATGGTCACCACCATTAATAGCTCGAATAGCCTAAAAGAAAAGAGCAAGAATAGGAAACTGCCTAATGGCTCCTTAAATGATAGACTGATTCCACTGCAGCCTGTCAGCATAGATTGAGAACAAGGCAGTCATGCCTGGTACCTTCCCCATACAAATGAACCAGCATCATAGGAAAACACAGCAGAAATCATCAGGCCTTATGGTTGGCACTGAAGGGTGCAAAGGGAGCATGGTTCTGGAGCATGGAATGAGCAGTGAAACCCAGAGAATCACCCTAAATCTGCTTAGGTAGAGGTTAAGCACTGCAGAAATGGCAGAATCGGGATCCACCTAATTGATCCACTTTCTATTATCCTATGGTCCACCAAGCCCAATAAACACTGTCAAACACCCTCTGCATTTGACATTATGAAATTCCTTTGTTATATGCCATGGTCATTTATTTCTATTCTTACTTTCCCTATTTCCATTGATATACTGCTTCCTGTGTGTCCTGCGTCTCCCTAAAGCTCACTGGAAATTCATTTTCAGCTTGAGAAAGTTTAAGCATTATTCACTACTGTTTACTACGATTATGGTTATTCATAACCATATAGTGCAGGGTTCTCTTTTCTTTCCATGCCCAATTGTTTCCTTTTTTTAGGGATGTCCATGAAATATGTGATTCCAGAGGCTTCATATTGATTCTAAGACTATTCGTTTTCTAGGTTTTACCTTCTGATATTTGGTAAGTTTCTTCATTCTTTTTCAAATGCCATTTTACAAAAACTAAGTATCACCTCAGCAACTTCCTAAGGCTGCCAAAAAAGACACTGAACTACACCCACGAAATTCAAAGAGCAGTAAATTGGTTGCCACCAATTATTGCCCACAGGACTTGTTTCTCATGAGCTCTGTGTTACACAATTACTATCTGTACTGTGATGTCTGAGTATGTCTATTGCAAGTTATTAGTAGGAGGCTGTATATTATTACAGTTATTGATTTGGTTTGGTCTCTTCAATGCCCAGCACTAAAATTCATATCCAGATGAGAATGCATTACTAACATCTTATTAGTGGTTTTATTTGTGGACAACTCAGGCTTCAAATCTTTATCAAATCCTTTTTCTGACCTTTCTTATTCAGAAATGTAAATTATTTAGGGTCATTGAATCTTTCCTGCATCTTTTTTCCTGCATAGTTTCCCAGTCTCTATAGAATAATCTGAACTTCCAGCATAATTCATTCTGAGATATTCATAAAGTCACATTTATGCCTGTAATTCCAACACCTTCCACAATAGCTATTTGCATACAATCTTTTCCATTGACAGTCATTCTTCTTCAAACTATTTGCCAGAGTCAGAAATGTTTTATTACATTGACATTTAGGAGCTGGTTCTAAAAAGCAAACTGGGAGTAACTCTCCAACTACTATTCACGTGGGGAAAAGGACATATGAAGGACACATTGCAGAGACCGCAACTGACAGTCACAGAGTCTGAAATCTTGGAAAGTGCAATTTAGGTCCTAGGCAGCTAAAACAATTTTACAGAGTTAGCTATGCTGTAACATATGCTGTGGTGGTAAAGAAGAGTCTATCAAGTCTGCTTACTGGACTATGAGATTGCGGGTTATTCTGCTAAAAGAAAGAATGCTGTTAAAGAAGGTCTCAGCCATGATCATCCATATGGGGAATAGCGAAAGTCTTACTTGTGTGGTGGAATTTGTCTTTAAGGAAAGAGGAAAGAACTCACCTTAATGATGTTGAGCAATTCATGTCGATCAATGCAGCCGTTGCCATCTACATCATAGAGCTTGAAATACCACCGCAATTTCTGCTCCATCTTCCCACGGAGAACAAGGCTGAGGGCAGCCACATATTCCATGAAGTCAATATATCCATCCTGTGGGAAAATGAAAACCAAATTGTGACAGGAACAAACTCAGGGAGTTATGGCTCTGGAGCTGTTTTACCTTATTGCTCTTTAGATTCACAGCTAAAAGAGAAAGAAAAACAAATAGTACAGAGACTTGAACTTAGGAAAAAGCTTTAGTGTACACACATGCACACACACATGTGCTATTTCCCTGGCCACCTTTAAGATCTGGGCGGCAAACAGGAGTAGCTGGAAGCCATTGTGCAGCGGGATAGCTATGACTTAGTCACCATCACAGAAACATGGTGGGGTGACTCTCACGATTGGAGTGCTGCAATGGCTATAAACTCTTCAGAAAGAATAGGCAAGGAAGGAGAGGCAGGGGGGGAGGC